TCACATCACAGGAGAGTGAACTGTCTGTCAGAAATCATAGCACGTCAGCTGTCTTAACTGCGGCGTGGGTACTGCATCATCACACTGATGGTAAAACTAACTACATTATTAACTGGCTTGATATTTACTTTGAAAGCTGAAGCTGCGATTATGGTAAGGGGCGTTACATTTCCGACGAGTGCTTGTGGTGTTCAGCCAATCACAATGCACTGGGTCAGCTGGCCAATCAGAGCAGACTGCGCTTGTCGGAAGGAGGGACTTTGTAGAAAACGACGTGTTTGAGAGAGGCGGGGCATAGAGGACCTACAATAATGTACAGTATTTGAAAAATAATGTGTTTTTGAACATTAAAGCATGTCAACATATTCTGTTACACCAAATAATGATCTTTAAAATAGCATCATATGACCCCTTTAAAATAAAATAAAACAATCTAGTGTTACCATGAATCAGCATTTTTATGGGGTGGTTAGGGGGATTTTTTTAAATATACAAATGTAATGGTTCTTGTTATTTAAAGCAGAGAAACCTGATGATGTCAGAATTGGTCTCAAAACGAGGTATTAAAAGGATTTAAGGGAATAAAGAAAAAAGAATCATGAACTGCATTTTAAAAATGTTATTTTATGAAGTTTCCTGAGGTGCACTTATACTGTTAGTAGGAATTTTTTCTGACTCAGTTTAAAGGGACGGGTCACTTTTAAGACTGTGATTGGGTAACTTCTTTGCATAATCAATATAAATTACATGTGGAACTCTCTCTCTATGACCTCATGATTCTCATTTGTTCTGACATGCACTGTGAGCTGTAAGGTCTTATATAGACAGGTGTGTGGCTTTCCTAATCAAGTCCAATCAGTATAATCAAACACAGCTGGACTCAAATGAAGGTGTAGAACCATCTCAAGGATGATCAGAAGAAATGGACAGCACCTGAGTTAAATATATGAGTGTCACAGCAAAGGGTCTGAATACTTAGGACCATGTGATATTTCAGTTTTTCTTTTTTAATAAATCTGCAAAAATGTCAACAATTCTGTGTTTTTCTGTCAATATGGGGTGCTGTGTGTACATTAATGAGGAAAAAAAATTAACTTAAATGATTTTAGCAAATGGCTGCAATATAACAACGAGTGAAAAATTTAAGGGGGTCTGAATACTTTCCGTACCCACTGTATACACACACATAACCGTTTTTAAAAGTTCATAACAGTTTAATTGAAAAGTAAACACCTCTCACAGTTCACTTTTGTCGACTAGCTCAGGTTAATTCACACACTTTCACAGTATTTATAACTGCTGAGATTGTGAGGAATGATAGCCTCATATGAGTATGTGTGAGGGACTTTATCTAAATGAAATGCATACAGCGATCTCACTGTCGCTCAGTGCACTTGCGGTGGTTTATATACAACAGCATTCCTGCAGCAGACAGACTGCTCTGAATCATCACGTGATGTTTAGACAGAGAGCGTGAATGTGTGTGAATTCATAGGAGAGGATCGTGAAGTTTTAAGTTCATGCACAACACACAACATGGTTTCAAATAAACAACTGAAGACCATTTAAAATCTAGTCACATGACACGTGGGATTTTCTTGACCAACAGAAAGAATTATATTATTATAAAAGAATGCATTTTGAACTATTTGCCTATATTATTATATGTGATGCCGTTAAAACACACTTCAAAGTCACACGTTTTACCATGTTTTAGTACAAAATGACATTGTGTGACAAATAATGTAAATTACATGGAAATGCAGTTTGTCACTTAGATTTCTTTGTTGTTGTATACTTCTAATCAATAATGTAATTGCTGTTTTTGTCCTGCAGGCAGAAGAATCGGGCAGACACCTGTCACGCAGCGATAGCAGATATGGATCATTAAAAAGAGGACAAAGACAAGAAAGCCATGTTAGTATTGTGATGATTTCAGCTTAAGCGTTTGCTTTTAGGCAGTGAATTATAGAGCAGAACATCACTCTTCCAGTGTGCTTAGAGGAATAGTTCAGCCAGAAATGAAAATGTGCCCTTCATCAGGCCATCCGTGATCAGGATGAGTTTGTTTCTTCGTCAGGTTTGGAGAAATGTAGCATTGCATCAGTGTCTCAGCAATGGATGCTCTGCAGTGAATGGGTGCCGAGAGCTGATAAAAACATCACAATAATCCACAGCACTCCAGTCCATCAGTTAACATCTTGAGAAGACAAAAGCTGAAACTAATCCAGCATTAATACATTTTTAACTCAAATACGAGTTCATAATCCATAATAACACTTCCTCCTGTAAAAAAGTCATATAGTTTTGGATTATTATTATTATATGTGTTTTTAATCAGCTGTTTGGACTCTCATTCTGACGGCACCCATTCATCCATTACTGAGACACTGATGCAGTGACACATTTCTCCAAATCTGTTCCTTTAAGTCTCTCTTACAGAACTATTTTTGCTGAATAGGATGTACTAATTAGTTTTAAGATTTTAAACATTGGTTTGTTTTATATAGCAATGAAAATTTGTCCCTTTTTTTTTTTAAGAGTGAAGATGATCTGCTTTCTGAAAACATAGAAATGGTAAGTTTTTCACCTTTTCTACCAAATTTGATGTTTACTGCTATGAATTACATAAGCTGCTGTTTCATAAAAGTGGCAGTGACATGTGATGCATGCTAAGCTAGGCTCCAGGCAGTAAAGGTCAGTGCTACAGTATAATAAGAGTCCTGAAAGTGAGCTGAGACACGTGAAGTCTGGAGGGTTTGAGGAGCAGGTGTGGAGGTGCTGAGGGCTGTGACTCATGTAAGGTGAGTCTGAGTGAATCATAAACAGGTGTGTCTCCAGTCTTCGTGTAGATGAGCAAATCATCGTTACGCATTTCTCATGCACTGACTCATGAGCCTCTCCTCAAGAGCACATGACTGCTAAAGTGATCAAACCAGACGGGAGTTTTTGTCCTGTTCTTCCTGGAGCATTGCTTTGGTTCTCATTTAGATAGATAAACAGATTATAAGAAAGAAAAACAGAAGGATATTATTGAAGGCATAACTTATGTATTTAGGCTACGGTTGTTTTAGTGGGATAAAAGTCAATCTCAGAAGTTGACAAGAATTATATATATATATATATATATATATATTATTTATTCAAATTTTTTTTTTTGAAAAAATGCTGATGGTGCTGAAACACTCTTGCTCGGGTCTCTTTGTAAGTTTGTCGGCATGCTAATTTGAATCCATTTTCATTTTAAAAGTCTAATACGACTTGTTTCAATCATGAACAACACATCACCGTGCACTGAAAAAAAATAATTCATAGAATTTACAAATTTTTTTTTAAGGTAAGTGGTTGCAATCAATTTATTTTAGCTACATTTAAATAAACTAATTTAGTTGAGTAACTTTCAACTAAATTTGTTTATTTAAATGTAGCTAAAATAAATTGTTTGCAACCACTGACCTTAAAAAAATGTAGTATCATTTTTTTTCAGTGTGTATCGAATATATCAGTTGAGTTAATGGTGCAATGTCTGACTCATAATGCACATAATCCTGCAGGAAAAGTCACTGATCAGTCCTTGTTATAAATAAAAGTGGAATGCAGTGGAATAAAGACTTTGTTTCACTGGGATGAATCAAAACAACCATAGTTCCACTAAATGAGTCTATACAATTGGCAGGCGGCACAGACCCAGCTAGGCAGAGAGAGTCTTACATGAAGGATTACGAGGCCAGATCTTCATTGCCAGGTCTGTCTGAGGAGACAAGGACTCGAGCGCAGAGCTCAGTAACAGCAGACGTTTGTTTACAATTTGACACAGGACTGGGAATGCTTGAATAGGGAAGGATAATAGGAGGGTAACGAGGAAGAGCAGGAGGGGAAAATGAACCAATATTTAAAAAACTAGAAGATTGGGGTAAAGACAATAGATGGCAGAACACGGGGCACATAGAAGCAAACACAGCTAAAACCATCTGTTCACACAAAACATGAAGACACGAGAACACACGTAAAAGCCCCAAAGCCTCATGCTTTATTCAACACGACAACACAGGAACGCCGGGCTGAAGAAAGCATAAGCCAGATCCCCGACAAAAACACACAAGAGAAGAGTCCACAGTGAGAAAACGAACACTCACAGCGAAATTCAAAACAGCATTAAAAAGATTATATCTCAGTTTGGAGTAGAAACAGAATTATATCATTAGGAAGCTGAGACGTTTTGTGCAGAGTTTGTTTTGTTCATGTCACATGTTCCTTTATTTTCTGACAATACAGCAGGGGTGTATTCCAGAAAGCAAGGTTAACTTACCATCTGCTAAACCCTGAACTCTTGGTTGATTAACGCAAACCTTGCTTACTCGAGGTATGTTGGTTTCAAAAACGCATCCGGGAGCAAGTTCATTCAGCCCATGCCGACCCATGATGTGTGAGATGATAATATAAAATGAAATAAATATATAATATAATAAATAAAAAATTACCTTGTTATAATAGCGTTTTATAATATGTGTCCCTGGAGCACAAAAGCAGTGTTAAGTTGCTGGGGTATATTTGTAGCAATAGCCAACAATACATTGTATGGGTCAAAACGATCCAGTTTTCTTTTATGCCAAAAATCATTAGGATATTAAGTAAAGATCATGTTCCATGAAGATATTTTGTAAATTTCTTACCGTAAATATATCAAAACTTAATGTTTGATTAGTAATATGCATTGCTAAGAACTTCATTTGAACAACTTTAAAGATGATTTTCTCAATATTTAGATTTTTTTGCACGCTCAGATTCCAGATTATCAAATAATTGTATCTCGGCCAAATATTGTTCTATCATAACAAACCATACATCAATGGAAAGCTTATTTATTTATCAATTTCAAAAACTTGACCCTTATGACTGGTTTTGTGGTCCAGGGTCACATTTATACAGATAACTATCGCTGAAATGAACTAACCCTGAAACAGAAGCTACTCCGAAGCAGGTTATGTTCAGAGAATAAGTTGCTCTGGCTACTTACATACCCTAAAAGTTACCTCCGTTTTTGGAACCTCATGCTGAGTTTATCTGCTTACTTACCCTTAAACATAACCGGGAATATCACATAACCTGCTTTCTGGAATACCCCCAAGGTATTGTCTTATAGACCTACTGCCAACGTTAAATGATATTACCCACGAACTGATGGTTTAAAAATTCAATTAATGTTGTTAAAGCATCTACCTAATGTGACATGTTTTTGTATATTTGTAGAACCTTGATTTGTAAAGGGGAATGCATTATATGGTGATAAGAAAATATTAAGAACCTATAAATATTTTATAATTTGATATAATTTCTTACTCTATAAAAAAGGCTACTGTTATGATTAAAGAACTTGCCAGAGTTTCAAGGTCTGTGACAATAAATCTAAAGATATTTGATGTATAGCCTATTGTCCATCCCTAAACGTCTCATAAAATGAGGTGTATGTGATGGTTTAACATGGCAGCTTCTTCATATCTGAATGGACTGCTCTTGTCCAGAATAAACTGAAATATGCTGCAGCTTTAATAGGAACTTTGGCTCATGATACTAACATTGTTTGTCTGATGAGAATGACAGGTCAGACTGTTGTGGAGAGCATGTTTTACACACACTATCAAGTAAAACATATGTAGAAATATGTTATATCACCTTAGAAATGTCACCTTGATGTTTTAGTGATAAAAAAATACATGTATTGTGAAAAGCACTATAAAATAAAAACTGTGGATGTAGCTTTAAATGTAAAAGTGCTCTATGCATATTTTTGGTTACTGTCTGTAAACAGCATTCAAACATCCTTGTGGGCGGGCACAACACTACCAGAAGCCACGCCCCTTGTTTCTGACATAATCTCAGCTGACAGAACGCACACAGCCAAGTATCACATGAGACAGTGGCCCAAGAGCAGGACAACTGAGTGTGCATATATATATATATATATATTTTTATTTTTTTATTTTTTTTCAAATATTGTTAATCATGCATAAATTGCATTTTTTGTGTGTATATGAGCAAGCAGTTATGCTAATAATTAGATCTCTTGCTGTAATTTGTGTAACGAGTGTAGCCATCTACAGTTTAGCTCGCTAATAAACCAGAAAATACAGCCAGTGTCTCTGTGGACACCAACACAACTTCTGCTTCTGCTGGATCATGTATTGATGTGATGTGATGTATTCATGATTGAGAGGGATTCTTTTTGTACGAGTCTATACTTTGTTTTTGGGGAAATCCTGTGTAGTGCACCTTTAACAAATGAAAATTGTACATTAAACTGTTGTAGGATTGGTAGATATTTGTCAATAAAATAGTAAGGTGCAATAACCAGACTCTTTTCAAGGTGAAGGAATAATGTGGCATTGAGTACACTCTTAAAAATAAAGGTGCTTCACGATGCCATAGAAGAACCTTTTTGTCTAAATGGTTCCATAAAGAACCTTTAACATCTGAAGAACCTTTCGGTTTCACAAAAGCTTCTTTGGGGCGAATGAAGGTTCTTCAGATTATAAAAAGGTAAGAAAGAGATGGTTCTTTAAAGAACCGTTGACTGAATGCTTCTTTGTGGAACCAAAAATGGTTCTTCTATGGCATCGCTTGAAGAACCTTTTGAAGCACCTTTATTTTTAAGAGTGTATGACGGGGCGGCACAGCCTCAGTCCATTTCAGTAAAATTGCTTGCCATGTTAACTTGGAAGTCAAAATGAGAACTGATGCAGATAACCGTTGCTCAATATTGCATGGTAGTAACATGCAGTTTTGGTGAAACAGGGTCCGAAATGTTTTGTGATTGGATCAGTGAAACCATTGTACCAAAATACACACCAGTTATGTTTAAAATCCCAGCTGCCCTGTTCTTTAACTTGCCTCCTCTCCTGTTTGCTCATAAGCTGCTTGTCATGGCCATTTGATTGAATGTGTATATGACACTTGGCCTCTTGTGAAAGTGACAGCATAACATGACTCAAAGAATGACGAAATCCATAAGCGGTCACAGAAGACACTCTTGACGCTGGTTTTAATAGCAGACAGAGCGGTTGATGGAGATCCTCCTCAGACACCCTTAATATGCTGAAGCCTTCAGAGAGTCAAACTCATGTCTTTTCTGACCTACAGGACTCTAAAGAAAGTCAGATCTGGACCAATTTGTTCTTTTAGCTGTTTAAAAGAATGGGTCTCTAATAAATAACTTTTAAAACTTTAGGTTGGCTTGAGAAAGTTTAGCCTGAAAGTTTAAAGCAGTTGTAAAAGCTTGAAGTTTGAAAATAGATAGAAGTTTTAGATAGATAGATAGATGGATAGACAGATAGATAGACAGACAGATAGATAGATGTCGATAACATGTCTCTAGCATGTTTTATGTTGCTAACATTTTTATGGCATGATTAGCATGTTTTTAGCACACTGTTAGCATGTTGATAGCATGATTAGCCTGTTGTTAGCATGTCTAGCATGATTAGCATGCTGCTAGCATGTTTTAGCATGATCAGCATGTTACTACTATGTGGCTATCAGGATTAGCATGTTGCTTGCATGTTTCTAATGTGATTAGCATGTTGTTAAAATATCCTGACTCTACCTTACAAACTCTCCTTTATGAAAATTAACCATGGTTTTATGAAAGTAAAAGCAGCCATGTTTTTTTTGGCGTATTGATTACATTTGTATAACCACAGTTTTACCTCAAATACCATGGTTAAACTATGGTTAGTGCTGCAAAACCATGATTAATTTGTGGTTACCATGGTTTTTTGGTTTTATTTGTAGTAGAACCATGGTTAATTTTCATAAGGGCTGAGACGTTCGGAGCATCTCTGCTGCCAGTGCTTGTTTTGAGGGTGTTTTGTTCCCCTGTGCAGATGGAGCTGAGAGCGAGCTACGAGGGTTGTCTGCAGGAGGTGCGGACCCTGGAGCTGCAGCAGGAGACTCTTCTGTTCCAGGTGGACTGTCTTCAGGACGCCCTCGAGGGCACGGAGGAGATGCTCGCTGAGACCCAGAGAGACAATCACAATCTCACCATGGTACTGTAGAGATGTGTGAGACCGATGTAAACGGTAGAGGTCTGTTTCAGACCTAAGCGGGGAAACTTTTGTAAAAGATTACTTTTGACTGAGTAATGGATTCATTGCATAGACTTCACGTCCTTCTGTTCGACTCGCTGTGATTTTGACTGCAGGAGCTGGAGCGAGAACGAGAGATGAGGAGGAAGTCGGAGGACATGCTTGCCTCATTAAAGCGGGAGCTGGAGAGGTTAAGAGAGGTGAGGAAAAACTAAGCTTGCGTAATCACATTTAGAAACGAACAGAAACTGCAGTGTAAAGCCAAAGGAGAGACAGGCTTTCTGTGTGCTTACGTAACCATATTTGGAGAACCTTGCCTTATCATAAAACATGTTGAAAATGTGCCTGGATATGTTCTGGCGTATGAAAGAGGCTTGAGCTTCTGGAGGATGTGTTTTTACGAGTGCTCAGTTGTAAGTAAGGGATAATGAAGTCAATTTAAACCCTAACGAAGGTGACAAATGGGGAGTGGAAGGGTCATGGATCAACCTAAAAGGTTTATTTGTTTCCAAATAAACAAATAAATGGACATGAGATGTACAGTACTTGCAAAAGTCTTGGAGACGTTGTTCTTCTGGATTGAGTCTGTCTCAGTTTGTTCTGTTTCTCCAGACAGACTGATGATGATCAGATCAGATCTCTGTGTGGAGCTCAAAAATCTCACTGCATTATTACAATTAATGGCCAAATGAATGCTTGGAAATGTAAACTGATATTTCCTACTGACACACTACAGCAAAAGATAGAAATAACTGACTTAAAACCATTTTTAGCTGGTGAGAATACTAGTGTTCTAAGGCTTTTGCACAGTACTGTAGATTTCAGTTGCAATTATTCTATTATGTGAGCAAAATAAAGTGTAGAGTGATACGCTAGGAAGTACTGTATTGTCTCCTACACCCACAAGAGGGCACAGTGAGCAAATATAAACCACCCACTTTTATATGAAACAGTGAAATGACATGATTTTGTTCAAAGTGCATGATGTTTTAAACAGATAAGTGGAGGTGCATCAGTAATATGAGAAGACAAGCGCTTTAACAGACAGTGTAATGCACAATGTTGACACAGAACAGCAGACTGTCATTCTGAAAGCAGGTTAGCAGGTTAACTGTTAACCCTCTAGTCAAACAGACTGTGCAGTGCAAACACTGTGAAATAATGTTGTGTAGCTGGGTACGGCTAAATGCTTAGCAACAGACTACCAATCGTGTGCCTCAAATGAGTTTACACAATGTGCAAAATGCAAGATTTAATGTTAAATATTTTCCAAAGGTTAGAACTCAGGGTCTGCAGTCAGTCACACACACCTTTGTGCTATTCCTGTTATACAGTATTTTAGAGTAAAGGATGCAACAATACAGTTAGCCCACGGTTCAATAAATACCTCAGTTTTTAACCACGGTTTTCAGTTTGGTTCTGATGGCTTGGCACATCAGAGTATTTTGTGTGCGATCTGATTTAAAATGCTATTTTAAAAAAACAAATCAGTTCACTTCATTTTGATGGACTTGCCATTATTTAGTGCTATAAACACATGTAATGTCTGTTTCATTCATACTGGAAGCACTCCTGCAGAAAATCCACATATGCATCACAGAAGCACTAGAACTGATGTGGACATGAGATGTACAGTACTTGCAAAAGTCTTGGAGACGTTGTTCTTCTGGATTGAGTCTGTCTCAGTTTGTTCTGTTTCTCCAGACAGACTGATGATGATCAGATCAGATCTCTGTGTGGAGCTCAAAAATCTCACTGCATTATTACAATTAATGGCCAAATGAATGCTTGGAAATGTAAACTGATATTTCCTACTGACACACTACAGCAAAAGATAGAAATAACTGACTTAAAACCATTTTTAGCTGGTGAGAATACTAGTGTTCTAAGGCTTTTGCACAGTACTGTAGATTTCAGTTGCAATTATTCTATTATGTGAGCAAAATAAAGTGTAGAGTGATACGCTAGGAAGTACTGTATTGTCTCCTACACCCACAAGAGGGCACAGTGAGCAAATATAAGCCACCCACTTTTATATGAAACAGTGAAATGACATGATTTTGTTCAAAGTGCATGATGTTTTAAACAGATAAGTGGAGGTGCATCAGTAATATGAGAAGACAAGCGCTTTAACAGACAGTGTAATGCACAATGTTGACACAGAACAGCAGACTGTCATTCTGAAAGCAGGTTAGCAGGTTAACTGTTAACCCTCTAGTCAAACAGACTGTGCAGTGCAAACACTGTGAAATAATGTTGTGTAGCTGGGTACGGCTAAATGCTTAGCAACAGACTACCAATCGTGTGCCTCAAATGAGTTTACACAATGTGCAAAATGCAAGATTTAATGTTAAATATTTTCCAAAGGTTAGAACTCAGGGTCTGCAGTCAGTCACACACACCTTTGTGCTATTCCTGTTATACAGTATTTTAGAGTAAAGGATGCAACAATACAGTTAGCCCACGGTTCAATAAATACCTCAGTTTTTAACCACGGTTTTCAGTTTGGTTCTGATGGCTTGGCACATCAGAGTATTTTGTGTGCGATCTGATTTAAAATGCTATTTTAAAAAAACAAATCAGTTCACTTCATTTTGATGGACTTGCCATTATTTAGTGCTATAAACACATGTAATGTCTGTTTCATTCATACTGGAAGCACTCCTGCAGAAAATCCACATATGCATCACAGAAGCACTAGAACTGATGACGCTCCAGGAAAGCCCTTATATGGACAAAGGCACTGCTGTAGCTGAACAAAAAGAATATAGAAACGCTTAAACTGATCAAACATAGACAATAAACACTCGACTGCAACAACGTATAGTTTATCAGTGTTCTTAAAACTTCCTCGGGTATTTTAATAATAATTAAGTAGGATTTATGATCCATTGCTAATTGACATAGCCTTTATTACAGTGTAGGATATATGTCTGTGTCATTCTGTGATAAGAAGCCACATCAGCTCACAAAAGTTAGTTTTTTCAACACTTGACTGTTGTTGTGGTATAAAACCATGTTATAATATTTTCTTTTGTTGGACAACCGGTTTAGAAACCAGTCATCTCAAGGGAAGATGTTTGGCGTGTGTTGCTTTGTCAAAAGCTCATTATAGCCGGGAGGCGTTTTCTCATCATTTTCTCATGTGTGTGTCCGCAGACTCACGGACACACACAAACAGAGCCGGTTTGGAGAGAAAAAAAATGCATGGAAATTATTTAAACGCAAAACTGGGGAAAAAAAAATGCTCTAATTGGTCGAACTCTTCATCTTTTTCTGTTGCTTGATTTGAGTACTGAGTGTGGACAGATGCGTAACCAGGTTTGTGCGTAGTTTAAAGTGACAAACCAGTGTACTTTGAGGTCAAAATGTGTATCCGCTAAGCAAAATGCGTACAGGTTGGCAGGTCTGAGAATATAATTAAAATTCCCAAATTAAAATTTTTTATTCCTCAACGTGTTTCCATCCACCTATTTTTATGCGCATTTTGGACTATTGCATAAAAAAAACTGCTAGATGGAAACGCGGAGATGCGCATAAATTCTACAAATGTGCATTTGAGTAGGATAAACTTTTTATCCGGTAAGAAAAAATGTGCATCAATTACGATGGAAACACATTTACCGAATAAATTCCTCCATGCGCATCGAAAGAGTAATGTGACTTTGCGCTATGAGACAGCATAACTTGACTAGCAGCAGACCGATCTCGTTCACAGCATCTATATGTTGTTATGGTCGTTCTGAAATGCCTGAGCAAAGTGTGTCGTCAAAGTATTTCTGTATAATTGTCTTACACGACTGCATTCACAAACAGTTGGTATCTACCTCCAAAAGCATTGGCAGCATTTATTGTGATTCGTCTGCTCGCTCTGAGGCGCAAGCAATTTATCATATATGAAAATGTATATATTCAGTGGCTTCTCCTAGTTTTCTTAGTGATATTTAGTGCCAGTTTACCAGGAAGTGACGATTTTGTTCTCTTTGACTCGTTGAATGGAAATGGTGCTTTATTCGCAAATGCTTTATGCGATATTCCAGTTTTGCGCATAAGTTTAATTCGAATCTTTGGATGGAAACATCTCAAATAAGTTAAAACTATAATTTAGCCAAGACCAAATTCTGCGAAACAGAAACAGATTAATTCTTTGCTTAGAGTCTTGTTAGTTAACTTCACGAGTCACGTCACATCCTTATAGGTTAAAGCTATTTATTCATACCTTTATAGTCCACCAAAAAGTCCACTTTTCAAGTGAATCATCACATCCAGCTCCTCGTGACACGCCTAAAACTCTAATGCACCGGTTTTTGCATTTGCATCTGCAATTTCTTTTTAAATTCAGTGACTTGCATAATTCAGATTTTAATTTGACAGCCCTAATAATAACCGGCTGTTCTGAATCCTGTGAAGTGATCAGCACATATAAAAAAATGACCGTGAATTTAACGGTAAAAGACTGTAAAAATGCTACAGTAAAAACCTGTTAAACGGTTAACGGTAAATTCCCCTACTATATACGGTGAAAAACTGTATTGGACATTACATGTAATTTTATGGTAGTATACCATTTTTGGAAGTGAAAAAGATTGACCGTAAATTGACATTCCCAGAATTCCCTGCGTTACATTTCAAATTTGATGATTTTTTGTTGAAATAACTATGTTTCTTCTTAGTTTTTTCTTATCGGTTTTGTATATTAGGGTTGTGTGTTACACCTAATGTTGTTAAATGAATGTTTATTGCATTATTTCAGTTTCATGTGTGTTACCATGATGGTGTTTAGTGCTTGTGTGAATGACACTGTGCACCTTCCATATACAGTATGTTATTACTTAAAAGCTGTTTGTGTTGGCCTTTGGTTCATCATGTGACTTTCTCATCACGTCCTGCATTTGGTGGTTATCAGTGTATTACAAAGGTACAAAACAGTTTTCAGTACTTCAATAAGGTTGGTATAATAACATTATATCAGTTAATGAAATTACGGTATTTAACTGTAAATTTAAGTTAAATAAAATTATTTAAAAAAAAAAACACATATGCACAGCACGTAACACCTCCACCCTCAAAAGCAAACTATATGGAAATCTCAAACATAAGTTTGCTACATCAATGCCTTAAACTCTTGACAGGGCATCCGCTATAACGTTGTCCACACCCTTCTTGTGCTTGATAACCAGATTATAACCCTGTACAATCAAGGCCCATCGCATCAAGCGTTGATTTTGATTATACATTCGCGACAGGAACACTAAAGGGTTATAATTCAGATTTTAATTTGACAGCCCTAATAATAACCGGCTGTTCTGAATCCTGTAAAGTGATCAGCACATATAAAAAAATGACCGTGAATTTAACGGTAAAAGACTGTAAAAATGCTACAGTAAAAACCTGTTAAACGGTTAACGGTAAATTCCCCTACTATATACGGTGAAAAACTGTATTGGACATTACATGTAATTTTATGGTAGTATACCATTTTTGGAAGTGAAAAAGATTGACCGTAAATTGACATTCCCAGAATTCCCTGCGTTACATTTCAAATTTGATGTTTCTTTGTTGTTGAAATAACTATGTTTTTTCTTATCAGTTGTGTACATTAGGGTTGTATGTTACATCTAATGTTGTTCAATTAATGTTTATTGCATTATTTAGTTTCATGTGTGTTACCATGATGGTGTTTAGTGCTTGCGTGAATCACATTGTGCACCTGCTATATAATGTTAATATTTAAAAGCTGCTTGTGATGGGCTTTGGTTCATCATCTCATCACCTCATCACCGCCTGCATTTGGTAGGTACAAAACAGATTTCAGTACTTCAGTGGGTTGGTTATTAACATTATATCAGTTAATGAAATTACTTAAATGAAATTTAAGTTAAAACCATAAAACCTAAAATGCTGCTACCCTAATTTTTACGGTAAACTTCTGGCAACGACAGCTGCCGGTTTTGTACCGTAAAATTTACGGAATTTTTTTGACAGTGTACAGTTGAAAACGAGCACGCGAACGGCATGTTTGATGAGTCGCTGTTGATTTCTAGGTGTCAAGAATTTTTTGTGTCTTCTGCAGGAAAGAAGCAGCGAGCCGCTTCAGTCGAGGCCGGCGGGGCCCGGAGTTTGAAAATCGTGCAGTGTGAACTCGGCATAAGTGAGTGAAATCCACTGTCGTTATTACAGTGATACAGTAGCTGTACACGTGCATTTGTTGCCGTTTTGTTTGTGGGATTTCGTACCCGGATGCACCTGTAAGTACAGCAGCAGGTTGTGTTGATGTATCGGGTGATTGTGCTCTTACACACACACTTCTACTGCACACACCCTATTTCTACAGGCCCAGTTGTACTTCAGAGATTTTTATTCAGTTATGATATCTGTTTTTATTCTTGTTTTGTCATTCCAACATTGCAAGTTTAGTTTCAGTTCTCTCTTTAATTGTTGTTTCAGTTTTTTCTTAAGTTTAACTGTAGTTTCCTCTATATTTTTAGCTTTAGTTGTAAGGATGCCAAAATCAACATTATTAATCTCGACATGATCTGATTGGCTCTTTGATGTAATCTGCACCCAATGAGCTGCATGCTTCCTCTGGCCAGTGTTGCCAATTTAGCAATTTTGTTGCTAAATTTAGCAACTTTTCAGACTACCCTAGCAACTTTTTCTTACAAAAGCACCTAGCAACAAATTTAGCTATTTTTAAAAATTTATTTGGCAGTTTTAGCAACGTTTGATAAGTGACTCAAACGATAAAAAGGCACAATTTACCATTTCAATTACACAAAAGAGGAAACCAAAGATGCCTAGCAGTACACACGTTACAGGAATTAAGTTAGCTGCTATTTGCAATAGTTTAATAGTAATAATAATAATAATAATTGAATACTGTTATTTTTCATTTATGAGACACTTTGTTGGTAGCTCGTACTTGCGATTGTTGATGAGTTACACTGTTTCTTACAGTACACTGTAAGAAAAATATGCAGAAAAATGGAAAAGGCGCTAGTAATTTTCCAGGACATTATCCGTTATCCGTTGTAACCCGAAAACACAAAATACAATGCGTAATTAAAAATGCAGGTACAAAAACCTGTGGAAAAATCAATCCAGAAAACTCCTTCATATTAACACAGTAGATTGTGCATTATTTTTTTTACTTTTCTTAGAGTGCAGCATACTAACTACTAATAAACTGCTTTAAAGTATAAAACTTAAATTGTAATCGTTCAAAAATGTGTATGTTTTCGATAATTCAATGGATTAAAAAAGTTATTTATATTTTAATATTATATTATGCATTTATATTGCTACGAACAAATCTAAATTAACATATATAAAATATATATATGTTTTTGCTGAGATTTGACACTATTTTGCATCGTGATTACGTAATGACGTCATCACGCAATGTCATCACAACATCATTGAGCAACTTTTAGCAACAAATCAACCTTCCTTTAGCAACTTCCCCTGAAAATGAGTTGGCAACACTGCCTCTGGCTCCAGCATTTGAATGCCTTGCCTTATGTTGGCTGTAAGCTGGTCTCACTGTGTTTATTTTCCTCAACTGTAACTTGTCAGGATGGCCTCTGTAATGTATTGCATTAGGGAGGGATGAGCAGATGAAGCTTTATTCTGGGAGGTGCTGGCTAATGATTTGAATCTTTGATACACTGCCAGTTGACGTCATTTTGTGGTGGACATTAAAATGTAATGACCGCAGAAGCGCTGGCAGAACGGTGCATCACCTCATCAAAACACGAAATGTTTCATTTTGATCCTCTGTTCATGTTTTTTTAAAGCTACATAAGTGTATATAATGTTTGTAAATCAATATGCGAAATAAAATATTTAGATTGTTTCAAACTGTTATCAGTGATTTTAAAGGAATAGTTTACTCAAAAATGAAAATCAGCTGAACACGCTCAGCCTCAGGCCATCCGTGATGTAGATGCGTTTGTTTCTTCATCAGGTTTGGAGAAATGTAGCATTGCATCACTTGCTCAGCAATGGATCCTCTGCAGTGAATGGGTGCCGTCAGAATTAGTTTCTTAAAAACACGCAGCTTTTGTCTTCTCCAGATGTTCACTGATGGACTGGAGTGCTGTGGATTATTGTGATGTTTTTATCAGCTGTTTGGACTCTCATTCTGACGGCACCCATTCACTGCAGAGGATCCATTGCCATGACTATGCTGCAAAGACGGAAGATTAAACAAATTTTGTTACTTTTTTAAGGAAAGTAATGTTACGTTATTTTTTAGTTACTTTTTCTGACCTGGTCTGGGCTTGCTTGTTTGTTTGTGATATATATATATATATATATACAGGTGCATCTCAATAAATTAGAATGTCATGGAAAAGTTCATTTATTTCAGTAATTCAACTCAAATTGTGAAACTCGTGTATTAAATAAATTCAATGCACACAGACTGAAGTCTTTGGTTCTTTTAATCGTGATGATTTTGGCTCACATTTCACAAAAACCCACCAATTCACTATCTCAACTAATTAAAATACTTCATTAGACCAATAAAAAAACATTTTTAGTGAATTGTTTGCCTTCTGGAAAGTATGTTCATTTACTGTGCATGTACTCAATACTTGGTTGAGCCTCCTTTTGCATGAATTACTGCATCAGTGCGGCGTGGCATGGAGACAATCAGCCTGTGGCACTGCTGAGGTGGTATGGAAGACCAGGTTGCTTTGATAGCGGCCTTCAGGTCATCTGCATTGTTGGGTCTGGTGTCTCTCATCTTCCTCTTGACAATACCCCATAGATTCTCTATGGGGTTCAGGTCTGGTGAGTTTGCTGGCCAGTCAAGCACACCAACACCATGGTCATTTAACCAACTTTTGGTGCTTTTGGCAGTGTGGGCAGGTGCCAAATCCTGCTGGAAAATGAAATCAGCATCTCCATAAAGCTTGTCAGCAGAAGGAAGCATGAAGTGCTCTAAAACTTCCTGGTAGATGGCTGCGTTGACTGTGGACTTCAGAAAACACAGTGGACCAACACCAGCAGATGACATGGCAGCCCAAATCATCACTGACTGTGGAAACTTCACACTGGACTTCAAGCAACATGGTTTCTGTGCCTCTCCACTCTTCCTCCAGACTCTGGGACCTTGATTTCCAAATGAAATGCAAAATTTACTTTCATCTGAAAAGAGGACTTTGGATACACTGCCAGTTGACGTCATTTTGTGGTGGACATTAAAATGTAATGACCGCAGAAGCGCTGGCAGAACGGTGCATCACCTCATCAAAACACGAAATGTTTCATTTTGATCCTCTGTTCATGTTTTTTTAAAGCTACATAAGTGTATATAATGTTTGTAAATCAATATGCGAAATAAAATATTTAGATTGTTTCAAACTGTTATCAGTGATTTTAAAGGAATAGTTTACTCAAAAATGAAAATCAGCTGAACACGCTCAGCCTCAGGCCATCCGTGATGTAGATGCGTTTGTTTCTTCATCAGGTTTGGAGAAATGTAGCATTGCATCACTTGCTCAGCAATGGATCCTCTGCAGTGAATGGGTGCCGTCAGAATTAGTTTCTTAAAAACACGCAGCTTTTGTCTTCTCCAGATGTTCACTGATGGACTGGAGTGCTGTGGTGGATTTTTGTGATGTTTTTATCAGCTGTTTGGACTCTCATTCTGACGGCCCCCATTCACTGCAGAGGATCCATTGCCATGACTATGCTGCAAAGACGGAAGATTAAACAAATTTTGTTACTTTTTTAAGGAAAGTAATGTTACGTTATTTTTTAGTTACTTTTTCTGACCTGGTCTGGGCTTGCTTGTTTGTTTGTGATATATATATATATATATATATGGCTATTTTTGGAAAATGTAAAGTGCTTTGTCACCAAAAGTGAAATGAATACGCCTCAGGCTGAAGGAAATGTAAATTCACGTCTGTACAGTAGAGAGCGCAGCTCAAACAAACTTTTCAGCTGTGCTGACATTTTGGATTACATGAAGAATAAGACGCAAGAGAAAAAAGTTCAGCATTCTGAATGAATAAATGTTTATCTAAAGTCATTTTTGCTTATTCGTATAGTTGAATTGGATCATTGAAGGTCAGCAGCAAAGACAGTGATTAATAAAATGGGATTAAATACATGAAGAATATTTGTGTTATTTAACATATTTAATTACTGCAAGTTTGCATCATATTCAATTTGAGGAATACTGAATCTGTTTTTTTTTCTTTGCAAGTGAGATGAGTAAACACATGTTCATATTTAGTCTATAACTACAGTAGCATCATGTTCACACAACGCTCTGCACTTACTCCTGATTTCTGTCACCATGGCAACACCGGAGCTGTCAGTCAATACATGGGAAACAAAGTAACTGGCGTTACTTATTTGAAAAAGCAACTCAGATATTTTCTTGTAAATTAAAAAGGAACTCTGATTACAACATCTCATTGACAAGTCGTTTCAGCAATGCTAGAGAAAAAGCACTGTAGTGAACAAAACAGCAGTTTGTACTGCAGACCCAGTGAAATGACATTCTGCACATGGCTTGAATGACAATGAATCAAACTGGACCTAAGATTTTACAGCACACCAGAGCCACTCTGTAAGTATAAGAGTGATACAGTCCATATATTGTTGCATTGGAGGGAGTACAACTCTGAAACCACCTGATGAACCTGCTCCATGACTGCTTATGGTCGCTTTTCTTGTCTTTTGAATATCTCTCTTTGTTTACATTGCTCATTTGCCTTGACTGTATTAAAGTCTTATCCTGATTGGTTGTTGAGCTCAGCATCGAGTGAGAGCAGGCAAATACAACCAAATGAAGTATTTGTAAAATCGGTGCAAAAAACCTGGACAAAAAAGGGCATATTTTGCTCTGTGCTCTGTTAGCATCAGAGACAATCCTGGACTTGTTCACTTGTCTCTGGCTAGACTTACACATCAGCCTTTATCCGTCCGAGGAGAATCATCTCTAAAGCTCTTCGAAATCACTGTTTGGACTTCAAGGTAACACTTTTGTTTTGTTCCAATTAAAGCTGCTTTAACAGTTAATAAAACTACTTTACATTTATCTAAAGGTAATAAAACCCGTAAAATAATGGCAATTACGTATTAAACATGAAAGGAGCGTAATAT